TTATAGTACATTCATTATATTCATATAGCTACTAGCTAGCATTCATTATAGTACAAAAACTAATATAGCTTGTCAATATCAACACATTTTTATCTTCAATAAAATCCACTAATTCGATTGATGCTGTAAAAATTACAATTTAATACTTTAGCCAATTATTCTGATTATAGTGATTTAAATTCGATTTTAGGCAACATATGCATTCTTTCAGAAAACGCGATATATTGAGCACCGCTGTTACAAGTAAATACTGTACATTCAACCATTTCATAATATGTAAATGTAGCATAACTTCTTTTCGAGTGCTTGCACTGAGAGTCTCCTTCAAGTAAACCTTAATGGAACTTTATTTCATGAAAATTTAGAAGTATTATAAAAGCCTCAGAATTATTTCCATTGCAAACATTTATGAATTATGCAGAAAAATATATAAGAAAAACATCAATGAGAAACTATTATCGAATATACATTTCATGACAGTAGTAAAACATTTTTTCAGTACCGACGGTATTAAAAAGCTCAATATTGTGATAAGCTAAATAAAATAAAACGGTATTAAAAGTTTAATATTGTGATAAGTAAAAGTACTAATCTATAACACTCATTTGATATTTTTGCCATTAGAACTATAATGTAATTCTAACCGTTAAAGTAACATTGTATTTGTATTAACTAGAATTATAATTGTAATTTCAATTAAATTTATCAGTACTCGTTGTTTCCTGCACCTTGAGGGAGACGCATTATTATTATTTTTTTTTCTATTATATAAAATACTGTCCTCAGAAAAAAATGTCTCTAGACATGATTCTGTCTCCAAAATTAATGGATGAGGTGAACAGAAATAATCTTGGAACAGCCTTTGGGCAAGTGCTGCGAGTATGCGAAATGTAAGACTGTAATTAAACTTCGACCATCCTGGAGACTACACTTCTTAGAATATTGCCATTCGACAAATTATAAGACCTTCCATTTATCTTTAAAGTTTAAGCTATCTGTTATTGACTGAGAAAAGCTGGTAATTCATTGTAGTTACTTTGTAGTTAAAACTACAACTAATGCAGTTATAATTGTAATTGTGCCGCCCAGATGGTATAGTGGTTAGGGAAGCCTGACTGCGATACCGAAGGGCCTGGGTTCGAATCCCGTAGAAGGCATGGCTTTAACTGTTCGTCCTTTCATAGGAGGCGATAGTGGTCCACATATTAGATGCCTCCATAATAAAGTGACTGCAACTTCTGGCCTTGTATAGACTAATGGACTGTGTTGCACTGTAACTGTTCCCAATCTGCCATTGGGGAAAAAATAAAATAATAATAATAATAATTGTAATACAATGATTGTTCGAATTACAATATAACTTCAAAAGCAATTAGATTTTTCGCTCAGCAGAGTAATAAATCGTCTTTTGAATACTACTAGTTCAAATCGGATGCCCATTTTGGCAAACAATCTAAATGTTTAGATAGCTCCGTGGATTTCCTTATGTGTAACATGAATACAAATCATTTTATTTTAGAAAGTTCTCTATGAGTACATCATTCTTCTTAAACGTGTCGTTGCATTCAATTAAATAAAGATCTTTTCCTGCTTTTATTAACGGGTGATGTGAACATGAGCCAGTTTCCCTTAGAAAGTCCTCCACAGAAGCATCTTTGCAGTCTTTACCGTAATCCAAATAATATGACAATCACAGGTGCATAAGAAAATTGTACTTTTATTTGTTCTTACGTGAAACAATGATGGAAAATAGTTCATGCAAGTACTTTCACTTGTAACTGAATAATGCATTTTAACTATTTATGGAAAATGTGTGTTATGTTGAATAAAAGACCAATTCGTAATTTTTTTTTTTTTCCAATGGCAGGTAGTAGCCGTTTATAGACATTGATCACTACTAAGGCCGGTCATGTTATTAAGGAGGGAACTAATACGTGGGCCACCGTTGCCACCTATGAAGAGGACGAACAAATTACATTCATGCCCTATCCGGGATTCGAACCCAGGCTCTTCGGTACGGCAACCAGAGTCACAAAACCGCTTTACTGTCTGGGCGGTAATTCATAATAAATGGATTTAGTAAAATGTCTAATACACACAGCAATTAAGCATACTGATTGCTGATCAGAATCCTTTTTTTACCAGCTAAAGCAATAGGTTGGATAAAATTATGAGACTTAGTTTAGTCCTTGATGATCTCCTTTCTGAAAAGAAAAGGATAAATGTAATTTTTATGATTTATTTCTTGTGTAATGTAAACAAGACAAGCGTCCCGTAACAAATCCTTTGCGAAAACATCCCTTTGCACTGGCATAAACTCTTTGCTTGCTTTCCCTTAATCTTGTAATTTAAGTTCACATGTATATCGAAGATCATAAACATACATATTTGCTTACTAACGTTATGTGCATTTCGGTTTATATAAAATATTTCCTTTAAATAAACTCCTATTTATGCTGGTACCACAAACTACAATATATGTAAGATGATTCAGAAGACATGACAGAAAATATTAATATTTTTCTTATAGGTGATTATCCCGTTGTATTATTTAAAAACTCATTATCTAAAATGCAGAAACATTTCGAATATAATATTATTGACTGTAATTTTCAAATATTATCACGATTTCCTTAGCCTATGTCACTGAAATTATAAGGGGCAGTTGTTTTTCTGATTAAATAGTTACAATCATCTGCTGCGCAATTTTAATTAAGAGGTCATTACAATTCCATTGTAATTTTTATTAGATTATATAATTACAGTTATACTGTTTATTCAATTAGATTTCACAATTAAAATGCAATTATAATTAAAATGCATTTGAGTAAATTGTATATGTAATTAAAAATTGTTACATAGTAATTACAAGATAATTGCATAATATTATTCCAATTACTATGTGTTTTCAATTGCATTCTGCAATTACATTTGCAATTAAGATCATGATTTTCCTGGGCTACGTAACTGCTTTTATCAGAAACAATTGCTATCCTAATTACATTATTATAATTACTTACTGGAGTTACAATGACAGTGTAATTGTAATTATATTATATGTTTGAAAATGAAAATTCTCTTTACGAATATAAACATTTAAGTTTACTATAGCTGGTATAAGCACAGAACAGCTGGAAGTTTTGAACGAGCTATTTATTCCGAGCTGTTATTCAAAACCTAACGATAAAACCCATTTGCCCCTAGAGAATAGATAATATCCTAATATCCTCTCCTCAATTACCTCCCGCAGAGAAAAATTATCACCTGTCAGTTTACATTAAGAGCAGAGAGGGGAGAGCACTCTGAGACAGGCCGTATATATGCTGCTTTGCCGTTTCGTGCCAAAATTTAAGTTTACGTATATATGCTGCCTTGCCGCCATCAGGACCAAAATATTTGGACGCATATATGCTGCCTTGCCGCTATGAGAGCCATTATTTTCGAACGCATATATACGGCCTTGCCGCCTGGAGGGTTAAAGGCAATTAGCGTAACCCTAAACGTAGCTTGAAACAGTACAATGAAATTCAGAAGATAGAAACTTATTATTAACGGATATGAATAGCATTTTTATCTCTTACTTGAAAAATATTGTAGAGATAAATTATTCTCAAAAACGTAATTCTGTTAAGATTAAGTCCAATAAAAGCCTTTATATTTCCATCTATTAGTATCGCGTTTTACACCTGCAACTACACACACTGGCCAGTAGATTAGAAACCTTTGAGATTTCCATTTGAATGAGTGATAAGAATTGCCTTGGTGTTCCTCGAGGTTAAACAAACATCCATTTTTTTACGTGGATTACACGCTGTTAGAATGCTACTATAAGTAAGGTGTAAGAGGGCTTTTCACAATGAGTGTAGCAAAATGGGATAAACGACAGATCTTTCACTATTTGAAAAGGGGCTTATGGTTTGTGCCCCTTTAACAAGGGCCTCGATTCTATGACAGCAAATCTCACTGGTTTCTCAAAACCAGCCATATCAAAGGTTTTCAAAAGTTGGAATCAGAACCCACAGTCCTTCTCTAAAAGCGTAACTGCGTTTCGAGCACGGCTTTCGAAGAGAGTGATCGGCGTCATCTCCGACGAATTGTACGGCAGAACAAGGACTCTATTGTACTTCAACTGACACAGATCGTCAGACAAAGCTCTTTCCAATAGATTTCAGCTCGAACCATGCTCAGAGAATTGCAGAGGATAGGAATGCATAGTCGTGTGCCTATGAGAAAACTACTCATTTTTGCCCGACGTGCAAGAATTCGTTTGCACTAGTGTCTGGAAAGAAGACACTGGACATTTGAGAATTGGAAACGGTTAATGTGGTCAGATGAATCACTCTCCACCTTATTTTGCACTGATGGAAGACGTCGAATTTGACGAGAACTCCATGAAGCCATGGAATCATCTCGCCTTACTCGCACTGTGCAAAGGTCTGGTGGAAGTATCATATTACGGGGCATGTTTTTCTGGCACAGAAGGGAAGTGGTGCCTTGGTGTTCCTCGAGGGTAAACAAACATCCATGAGATACCTAGATATACTGGCAGATCAAGTGAACTCTGCAATGTTGCATTTTTACTCTGATGGCGGCGGATACTTTATAGACGATAATGCAGCTATACATCGTCCTAAAATGTTCCAAATTGGTTCGATGAACCTCAGTCTGACTTCCAACACCTTTCCTGGTCACCGCGGATCTTAACCCCATAGAAAATGTGTGGGATATGGTGGAAAGACGCATCCGACAGCACTCTCCTCTTCCATCTAACTTACAAGACCTAAAAGTTTGCATAGCAATGCATAAATGGACGTAAATGCACTCTAGAAGCATGTAGACTCGATGCTCAAACGAATCAGAGCACTTATCCGTGCAAAACGTGGTCCAATAAAATATTGATCCCGGGTTTCTAATTCATTGGCCAGTGTGTATGTTAAACACACAATATAATCTGACTACATTAACTGATTAAAATGATATTTCTTTACTTTTGTCGTTAGGTGCTGACAATCGTTCATCATGACGCTGAAGAACCGACAGATGTTAGGCGTTTCGAAATTGCTGGATCTTACATCCGGAATATTACATACAAAGGTGCTACAGAGGCACACCTGATGGCTCTGATTGACTTATCCTTTTCCTGTCAGCAGTACATCAAATGGGCATGTAAAGGATCTATGTTTGGATTTTGGTATCCGGGTGACCTAAATAGTTGGTAAGCTTTTAACAATCCATCAGATCTAACTGTAAATGATGAAAACAATTAAGAGTTTATTGAATTAGATGAACTCATGAAGATATACCATGTTATTAAACTGCTATTATTATTATTATTATTACTCTATTACCGTGCTGCTATTATTAATTGCTTATTCGATTCTCGAATACAGCCCAGCGCGCTGATCATTGCACCACGAAGGTATGGTAAGAAGGCGGGCGAAATACTTTATATACCCCCCTTTAAAAGAGCGACTGGGGATTAGGGGACCTAATCGCCAAATCCTGGTGGTGGAGAATCATCCTCCGCCACCTTTTTTTAGTTCGGGCGTCACTGTAGAGATATTAGGATGCTTCTAAAAGAGCGCAATCAAAAAGTGTTAGATTATGTTAAACGTAAATGAGCTTGAAACGTCAATCACAACTTAAGCTAAACGAAAAATCTTTTTATTTGAGAAAAAAGATAGATGTAAATTAGTTTTTATGTTCTCTTCGCAAAATGGTTTCGTATTATTCGTAAAAGGGTTCTTCTGTCGGTAATAATTAATCAGATATCCAATCATATAATTTTAATGAAGAATTAAAAAATCGTAAAGTGACCTATGGTTATTTTATTCAAAAACTGAGGGAACAGCTCAGTTATCAAGGCAAAAAAAAAAATGCAACCTATTCAATATTCACATATATTCATTAATACTTTTAGTGATTTCTTTACGCTTATTCATTCATTTAATTCTTGTTGGTTACTTTGGTTACTTAAATTTTGTTTGTTTAAATTTGTTACTTTAGGTGGGTGGGAAGGAACTGGAAAAACCAGTATTACTGGGGTGGAGCTGAAACGGACAGCAGAAGTTGTGGATGTCATCCTTATTGTTATCCTACTCCCAGAAACAGCACTTGCAACTGTGATGCTAAGTTGAAATTAAAATGGTTGGAGGATTCAGGACTTCTTCTGGATTCTAGCCGTCTTCCAGTGCTACAATTAAGATTCGGAGATACAGGCGAACTAAGCGAAGCTGGACAACACACACTTGGACCTCTCATTTGCCGAGCTGCCGGTCATAGAGGTAAGTAAGTCTGCGTTCACACTGCGTCTTAAGTATTACTTATGTCACAGTCATAAATTCTGAGCATCATAGGAAGGTTCTCACTGACAAAGTAATCAGACATCACGGTCAAACCATGGAAAGGTATCCTCTAATTTACTTCATTCTACACAAATTTTCGTTAAATTTCAAGTCCCAGCGATCTTACATTGTCGGCTTTCCCTATGTATAAAGTGGCAGACAATTTCTCTTCGCAAAATAAAATTATTCCGTCATTTATAGTTATAAAAACAAAATAATATTTGGAGCATGTGCTTTTAAAAATGTTAAATACCAGCCAGTTTCTCTTAGAAACTCAATCATGAATGTTTTCATCTCCCATGCAGATAACCCTTGTATCCAATGTTGTATTCAAGCAAATAAAAAAATTTACCTCATCGGTAAATTACGAGTTTCCTTTTCTACTTCCTTGTACAAAGTAAAGAAAGTATTGTAGTCGCGAAAAATCCTGGGTATCATATTTTAACAAAAAAAAAAAAAAAAAAATCTATTTTCCGCTTTCGAATGAAATTTAACGATGTTTTTGCGTGACGTCTCTACGTAAGGGACAGAATAAAAGACTCTTTTACTCCAAATAAAAAAAAAAATTATAAAACTGCTTCAAAATGAATTCTGAAGAGAATTTTTCGTGGCGTCTACGTGTCTCGCATAACTCGAAAACGAGTAGCCTCAGAACGTTGAAATTTTGTATATAGGACTGTTATAACATGTAGATGTGCACCTCGTACGTTGGTTACAATCGGCCGCACCAAATGTATATAATTATATATATATAAATATCTACCCACTCTGTTAACCGGCTCAATGATCTCAGTTTCTTTACTCTTATATGTTTTTAAGCTGTGCATTTCTGGCTAAATATGAATTATGTTGTTCTTATCTTCCTGTTAAGGTTTTTATACCTTTAGTAAATCTGCACGCAATATTTGCGGAGTTATCAACAATTTAAAAGTTATTTAAGTGCAGCTAAGTCTGATTAATTTTGCGATGGTGGACGTGTTTGTTTACATTTTAAACTTGTCAAAATAGCGGATTTGTTGCCAATCTAGAGAAACAAAGCTTTGCAACAACAAAGATAACGCCTTCTTTTATCATTGCGAATTAAATCATGTTTATCCATTCTGGAATTTATTCGAGGAAATAAGTGTTTAAGATTTGCTTCGTAATTTTAATATCTATATTTTGAGTTTTTATGTACTTTTGCCTTGTCAGGAAGTGAGAACTGAATTAATTGAATGAGAAATACTGAATCGTCTGTGAAAAACTGTTTCTTTTTTGATTTGTTAGCTTAATTTCTTTTGTACATCGTTTTAAATTTATTATAGATTTTGAATAGAACATGTGGCAACGATTAGATAATTCTTCAAATGATATAAATTTATATACATTCTGAGTTATAATATGAACGAAATGTAACGCTGTTAAGTGAACCTAGCGCCAGAGTGTCGCTATGGTAAACAAATATAGTGAATTTTAAAGAGTGCATTTATTCTATTGTGGTTTATGCGCTATTGAAGAATTAGATTTAATTCAATCCAATAAGTTCCAATGAAATGCAAGAAAAAATGCGTATAATTTAATATTCCGTGAAAGGAAGTCATGTGGCATACACATCAGATTTTTTTTGTTTAGTATAGCAGCCATATTTGATTATATTTGAAACTTAGCAGAATAGTTAATTCAGTTTCTATACCTTCAGGTGCTTTCCTGAATGGGACTAAAATTAAACTTTTAAAAATTAAATTCAAAATTTTTTAAATTAAATTCATTTTTATGCACCGATAAATCTGCCTTGTTGATGGTTGGCGGAATTGCTTGTTTTTGCATAGAAACTCTAATTTTAATGGTAAAATATTTTTGATTGTTTTAACTGTATTTGGTGTTTTTTTTTTTTTTTTTTTTTTCTATATTTTTCAATTTTTAATGAAGATATTTTGAGGTTTTATTTATTTTGCCTTGCCGCGAATTGAAAACAGAATAAATAGAGTGATAAATACAATTCTAATGAAATTCGAGAAATTAAGTTTAAACGAAATGCAGCAAAAACTGCGTATTATTTAATACACTGGGCAAGAAAGTCATGTTGTGTACACATCATATTTTTATTTTCAGTCATCTCCTGCAGTGAAATGTGTTGCTACTACAATGAATCATTATACTTTTCTATACTTTAATATAACACACATGAAAGAATTTCTATTTTAAGGGCACCGATCTTCATAAGTTAAGCATGAATTTTAAAACATATCGCTCCATAGAAATCGAAATTGATATCATTCGCTTTGCTGTGGCTGATTAAGACTGTAGACTTTGGCTTATATCAGTATTGGATTAAGCTTGGAATCTCGAAACTTTGAAACCAAACATCCGCATTTTATGATGTAACGAGGCCTTGTTGCTTAGAACCGAAGTTCTGCTTATTCCATTTGCGATACTCAGTACAAAAGCTTCCTAAAAATTTAAAATTTGCATGAAGATTTAATTCATTAATGCATGGAAAGCTATGAATGTAATAACTGCACTTGCATAACTGAATGAACAGGATTTAAATAACAGCAGAAACCGTGATTGTATTAATTAATTAATTAAATCTAAAGTAAGCTTAAACGCATATGAATGCACTTGCAAGTTGTGTACAAAAGCATAAAAGCAAATAAAATCACTTTCAAGTTTGTGCGCAAAAGCACAGTTTCAGGTGACGCTCGTGGAAAGAGTACATTAGGTGTTTGAAAAGTACATGCTCCAAAAATTGTTTTATCTTTACAACTTTAATTGACAGAATAATTTTATTAATTAAAACGATAACGGTTAGAAAACTAATTTAGATTCTAAATATCCAATTTTCAGTTTGTTTCATAATTTATTTAATTATTAATTTACGACTTCCTTTATAAAATAATAATACATTTATATAAAATAACAATATGTATATTATATTTAATATTTCTTAAGTACTTATAAAAGATTTCATTGAAACAGGGAAAATCGTTCTTCAAATAAAATCACCCATTATTTAAGTTCGGCATGTTCTACAAAATTATAATTACTTTCGACGAAGAAAACCAATCTATCAAAATTACTGAAAACGTTATTTAACAAAATTATAGGATCTGCGTCAGGTTTCAGTACCTTGATGTATTGTTTCATCAGTAGTAGTAATAAAATTTTCATTAAAAATTGGCGTGATAGCTTCTGTGTTTATAAATACATTTTCTTCAATATTCGTAAACATCTTCAATAATAAAGGAATCATTAACAGAATTCTTTGTGAGTGAATGAATTTACGAATCCTAGTATATATTGTAGCAAATGATTCTGTTACAGGTTCTCAAACGTCCGTGTGTATAGCTTATTTCTTAACGTGTTTCGTTATTTAAGCATTTAAATCTTCCCAATCCGTAATAATTATAATTAAATTGGATGTGTCGGAGGAACAATAAGTGTAAATATTCATGAGACATACAGATACTTAACCATAATAGACATAAATTTCGTCTATCCGGTTCAAAGCATCTCTTAGCACATTTTATTGTGTCTCTAGAGACATTATAAAGCTTTTCCTACAACCTAAATGTCAACAGCAATGAAACTGTTCACCTTTTCCAAGAAATATATTTATATATGTGTCATATTTTGCTGCGTAGTCGTGATGGCTGAGTGGAAAGGCAGGAAGAAAAGATTTGGAGCTTGGTGATTTCGTAATACATGCCTATGGAAAGAAACTTGCCAAGAAAAACATGGCCGGATTCAAGATAGGATTTGGTGCTTGGTGATTTCGTAATAGATGCCTATGGAAAGAAACTTGCCAAGAAAAACATGGCCGGATTCAAGATAGGATTTGGTGCTTGGTGATTTCGTAATAGATGCCTATGGAAAGAAACTTGCCAAGAAAAACATGGCCGGATTCAAGATAGGATTTGGTGCTTGGTGATTTCGTAATAGATGCCTATGGGAAGAAACTTGCCAAGAAAAAAATGGCCGAATTCAAGATAATTTTATTATTGAGGAAAGTAGTACTGGATTCGCTATGTTTGGTTCACATACGGGCGAGCGTCTTATGCGGCTCACGTTTTTGTTAGCTCAATACATATTCAGTAAACAAAGAAGGTAGCTGCAAAGCGTCTGGCCAGGAGAAAAGCTTAAGTGAAAGTGTCGCAGCAATTCAGAGGAAAAAATGAAAATGTTTCAGTTCAAATTTAAAAAGTTTTGATTTGCGATTTAGTGATTGGGCTAGAGGTATCTGCATTAAGCGTTCCGTAGGATCGCATGATTCACTCATGGACCTTATAAGAAATAGACTAACCCAAATGGGTTTTCTCCCTCGTCTGAGGCGTTGCCGGCTGTCACCTTGATCACATCCGGAGGAGTAGGGACGACTTGCAGAAATTTAACTTTGGTTGCCTATTGCAGCGTGTATAATTGTCAAGAAAAAGTTGGTTGTAGCGCCTCATTTCACAAATCAGAATTTTTACATATTTTTATTTTTGAAATTGAGATTGATTTTTAAAAATTTAGCATATTTATCAAGCATAATTAACGTTCCAAATAATTATGAAGCTATTGCATGTTTCAGGGTTGATATTTTTTTAGCTTTTCCTATGCCGTAAGGAAATTTGTGACTACTTATTTTAGAAAATAATATTTTAAATCTGAACTAATAGAAAATTTCAAACAAGCAATTTTCTCTTTCAATTTTTGTGCTTTTCATTAGTGCAAATAAGTAAAAAATATTAAATCTTTAAAAACGAATTTTAGAAAGTTTTGTTTAAATTTCTAAATTGTGCTGCTTTTTTGAAATTGTAGATGAGTATTATAGCACAATTTCTATAAAGGAATTTTATTTCAATTATATTTCATAATACATCATAGTCATAAGCACTTTTGACTCCTTAAAAATTTTTATACATTTAATTCTAATATTAAAATTGTATTTAACCGTAACAATTAATTTTGCTTGTATTTTATAGTGATTATTTTTTTTAATTTATTTCTAGTTTTGCATAAGATATTCTTTTTTACTGTTAATTTAATTTATTAGCCCAAAGCGGCGGTAGCCTAGAAAGGCTGTTAGTTTAGAAGCGTCATTTTGCGCTGTTTTACTATAAATGTCCGTGTCTCCTTGCAAATTGTTGTTACCAAATATTATCGCCCTGTATTATATTTAAAGAAATTATATAATGAAGAATATACATGAATACATGTACGTTTCTTGCACTGTGACAAAAACGACAGTATCTAGAGCCATCAAATTTTGAATAATGTAATCCTCCACTCGAACATGGGCATCTGGACGGCCGAATTTCGAATTTGTTTTAATCTATTTCATATTTTGTAAAACTTTAACGAATTTTTGATTAACGAACTCAACGCGTTCAGAGCGAACACTGTACGGAAAATAACAATTTTATCTCCAGTGCGGAAATTCTAAAGATATTCTGTTTTCAAATGTATGTGGTTTACGGCCGAAGAGCATGATATTCAATAAATATAGGTAACACACAAAGCTTTAAAAAAGGTTCCCTTTGGGCGTAATATAAAATCTGAGTGCTTCTAAAGTTTATTTTATCCTTTTTTTTTTTTTTTTTTTTTTTTTTTTTTTTTAACTTTATTACGCTCAGAAAATTTTATGCTCCGAATTTTATGAATTATTAAAATAACTAATCCACTTTAATGTTAATAATTTAACGATCATATATTCAAATAAATATAATCGTTTTGTACTGTTATTATAGTTTGGAAAATCACTGGCTGAAAATGTTCATTTAATTTTTAAAAAAAATTATCAGATCTTGTTTAATTTTACCTTATTTATTCCAAAGTATAACGCATTATCAATCTTATTTAATTTTACTTTATTATTACGCAAAATTAAGTTCATAAATTTTGTGCTTAGAGTTTTTACCGTTTTACCAAAGTAAAGATGTTTGTACATGAATTACGCGTGGAAAAAAAAATGCGCGAAATGCAGTAAAAAGTGCTTTAATGAAATATATTAAATCCTATTTGGAAAAAACTGTGGCTTTCATAATGTCATCACTATACAATGTATCACATTTAATAATAAGAAAAGATTTATGTGATACAAACGCCATAGGTTTCAGTGTTAAAGTAATCCAGATCGTCCCTACTCTTTCTTGCCGACATGTCGGTGACGCGTGCCCCGCCCACTGGGTTAGTCTATCTCTTATAAGGTCCATGGATTCATTTAAATGATGTAGTTTAGACTTATAGCGCTATTTTCAAGATAGGGAGAGGAAGTTCCCAAAATAGTGAAAAATAAAAGCGGTTATAGCCATTTAAAATTAGAAGTTTGGTTTCATATTTTTTACCTTACATATATATATATATATATATACTATACTCATAACTCAAGTCAAAGAAGAGACACACAGTATGTTGGTGTATAAAACTTATCCCTTGCAAAACTTCCTCCCATATCAATCCCCTTTCTGTTTCCGAAAAATTTATGCCCACTCACCATGCGATTTTATCACATTCTTACATATAATGAAACGAAAAAAGAATCGAAAAACTACTATGCACAAAAACTTTACATACCCTTAAATACGCAGTCCACATTGGAATTGAAAACTCTGCATTTAGCTATTAAATTACAGTGAAGCTCAAACCAAGAAACACTATTTTTATGTATAAATTGCATTTAATCTATTTTTTGACTAATAATTTCTCGGACAATATGTATTCATGTAATATTCAAATGTTTCTTACTACATACAGGAATATTATACTCACGTTAACAAAGCCTTCAGGCTGGATGAAAGAAAATCAGCAACCGAGTTGTTAAAAACATCAGATATGATAAACTTCAAATCCCAAATTAGGTTCCGTTTTTAATTACTGTACAAAAAATATTCCAGGAGATAGATTTTTAATAGTTCTGAAAATGGAAAAGGAAAAATAATTCATGAAAAACAGAACAAATCCATAATTAACCTCACTCACTTTCACTCTTTCTCTGAATGCATGTAAAACGAATTTTTAAAATTTCACATATAATTATTCATTTGAAAGCAATATGGTTCCAAAGATAAATTTTGTATCTTCAATCGTAGGTCAGCGACCTCCAAATTTTACGGTTGGGGTTCTTTTGATAAAGCAGTTTTTAATATCTGGTATGAGAAAAATAGCATAATAGCAGAGAATAATTATATTATTATAAGCATAATAGCAAATAATTAGATGCTATAAGGACTATCGGAACCACATAACTTTGATGAAGTTATTTTAACTTGATTTTTGAATGCAATATTACTTGCTTAAATTTCAATTAATTTTAAAATGTGGTATATATGAATACCATATTTGGGAAAAGTTTTATTTGTGGAATGCATATGTCTGAAAAATTACTTTTCATTTTCTGTCATTGCGAAGCCATGACACACCTTTTTGTTGCTGTTGTTATTTCTGTAGTTTGTAAGGATCTTAAGTTTTACTAACGTTTATCTTATTTTAAATCTTTACTATCACTTCTTATTTTCTACTTCCGGCCAGAATTAAAAGCGTTAACTTATGTATGCAAAATTTGTCTGGCGAACGCCAAGTACTTAAGTTGTGGCTTTTTGCCAAGCGAGAGAGAGGAAGGAGTTAGTCGAAGCAGGCCGCTTGCCTTAGAAGTTTTACTCTTCGGTGCTGTTTGCCTTCCAGGCCAGAGGTTTAATCCTCGTGATAATTTTAAACGTATCGTAGTGTTAACAGTTCTCTGTACTACATACGGCTTCCTGTTAATATCCGGCCAATCTTACACGTAGGCCCTTGTTGATTATTCCAAATTTAAGTTAGAGTTTAGTTATATTTTTATATTCTTACGTTCAGACCACAAGTAGTTGGTCTCTGTATTCCGAAGTACGGAAATTATTGTAAAGAGTGAAAAATAAAGGGTTTCGTATACCCTTCCTGTGTATCTTGTCTACTTCCCACAGTTATTGAACATAGCTTTAGTAAGCTCCCTGTTCCGAGTCAGGTCTGTGCATGTTCTCAAAGAAAGTAAGACGGAACATTGAACCTGATAAGTTATCGTGTCTACGAAGAAGCCTATTCAAATAGTGCCATTGGTAAAGATGACAGCCCTGGCAATTTACAAAATGTTATCATCGTAGAGATTCAGTTTCGTAAACAAGACCCAATTTTTAACAATTCGGCAAGGATGGCGGGACAATCAAAAATACGTGCATTTGTCAGTTCTGTGTCCAGGCAGTTATCAGAGTTCTTGTAGGTTTCCCTACTCTCTCTGCCAATTTTCAGTCCTCTGTAATCATCACTTCTAAGCCTGTGCACACCCTTTTTAATTCTAGTTTAAACACGAATAAAAGAATTTCGTATGTAAATCTAGACTTTCCATCTAATTCGACATTGATAATGTGCTACAGGAATCTGATCAACTAAGAGTTTAAGAATAGCTGGTACGTTAAACGGTAATGGAATTGTATAGTGGAAAATTACAAGTATTATTTCTATAATACTAAATAAAAATTATATTATTGTTACAATTAAAAGCGTTCCAGGCTTTTCTTATTATCAAACTCTTTTACAGTAGTATATATTGCAAATGTAATAACTGAATTTTATCTTGCAGATATCTTCATGGGCATCTTCAAGGCTCCCTACAAACTTACCACTCCTGGTTATAATGAGGGAAAATACCCCCCACCGTTCCATCGGTATACTTGGACAATAAAAATTCCTGAAGGAGAAACGATGGAACTGGTTTTTCCAGAATACGATGTAGTACATTATGGGTCTTACAATGCTGTTCCGGACTGCCGAAGTGTTGTCACTGTTCGTGCAGAAGAAGCTAACGCTAGAGAAACTGTGGTCATCATGAGGCAGAAAAGTCCTCCGTACTATGCCTCAGAAGGATCACAAACAACAGTTAATATTACTTTTACTACGTGCAATCAGGATTCAAAGATAAAAAATGGAAAAGGCTTTAAAGCGTATATTAGAAGAACTGGTAAGTAAAAAGATGCCTTGCGCACACGAATAAAATTAACGATGATTGAAGAATCAATCAAAAATTGCTTATTATTTTTCAGCAGCGAATATTCATTCAGTTATAGAAAGCGAATTTCAGTTCTAGGGAAAGTTAATTTTTATGATATTTCTAATTGTCACATTCTTGTCACTAGATGGCGGGCATCTCTTCCTTTCCTTTTTCTCTAATTGAGTTCTGAGAACGAGGCTAGATTGGAACCGCTCTGAGGAGCGTAAAGAAACTTCAGACTCAGAAAAACAATTAAAATGTATTGTCTTAAAATAATTATTACCTACCTTGTAAATAGTGTATATTAGTGTCTTATTTCAATAAATAAGTAAAAGACAAGATGGCCTGTTAATTCTAATAGAAATTCTTACTGGAAAACGTTATTATTAGAAGCCTGGCGTCAAGAACACCGAAGATGCAGCAGGTAAGGAATTTTACATTAATTTTATTGTAAATAGAAGAACCTGATGCAACATTTTTATGGCGCCCGAACAGGGACGCCAGGTTTTTTTGAAAAGTTCTAGTAAAGTGAATTCAAAAGCTGAATATTAAAATTGAAGATTTTAATACTTGTTCTTGAAGTATTTAGCAAAAGAATAATTTTGTTTTCTAAGTAAGAGTTAAATATTTCTTTTTCATGAGACGTATATTTTTTGTGTAAGTGTTTGAATCTAAGAAATAAAGTATAAATAAGTACATAAATTGAAAAAGAAAAGGAAGAGACGCCCGCCATCTGGTGGCAAGAATGTGACACTAATTATGTACAAAGTTATTTTAAGGAAATGCTGTCTAAAAAAAATACTTTTAAAACAATTGAAGAAGCTGCAAGTGCGTCTGCAGACTTTAAATTACAGTTTAATTCTTCGAAGAGTTTATCATTAAAATTTGGAAAAACTTTAAAATAAATTTTCAATTAAAATGCCAAAATTATAAGAGATTTACAATTTAATCTCTGTATCGAAAAGTCAATTTAACACCTGAAATAATTTTAGAAGGAAGCATTTAGAAGAATCAAAACTTAGAAAATGAAAGACATGGAACCTAAATTCTCATATGCACAATGAGCTGTTCGAAATGGCACAGTACAATGACAGAAAGAATTATTACTATATATTTCATCATAAATTAACCCAATTTGGAGATTTTCCCTCTTATTTATTATAGAATAAGCTTAATTACTCAGCAGTTAGTGCTATACTTGTGTCCCTCTGTCACTTCGGGACAAACCACCTAATAAATATTTTCCTTAAGTCACAAATATTTCTACTTTTTAAGGGTACAAAGCTATAAAAAAGAAACAGGTATTGAAGCAGTACTGAATTCAGATTCTGTGCTGGTAAATACCGTCTAGTATAACGGGTACGATATATAAGTAAATGGTTTTGGGTACGACAAATCTCTTGTCTAATGGTACGGTTAATTGTTAAAGATTACTGAGGATTTAAATAGAGATCTATGAGGGGCTGGACCTATTTGGATATTTCCACCTCCAATTCTGTGAGTCCCTTTAACCCTTTGCGGCACAGTGTGTCCGGTCTGGACAAACCTAAAAATTTCCTTTATACAGAAACGCACAGAAAAATTGAATTAAAAAGGATTTATAGGTTACTATAGGTTACTCTGAACCTTCTTTATTTATAGTAGATGGCAGCTCAACACAAACCAGTCCATATATTTTAGCCATGTTTAGTTTTTTTAAGACCCTCATTTCTCAAAGAAATCTTCCAGATTTTTTTAGGGTATAAAAGGAATTGTTTGAAAAGAAATTTCTATGTTATTTTTTGGCTGTATGCTAATGTCCTTATTCTATATTTGTTTTGAATTTTTACCTTTAAATCTTGCCTAAAATCAAACGGCGAACCCTAGGTGCACCCAGACGGGGCTCACAGATAATCTAGGACAACTGAGAGTCTGTATTCTTTGTTTCTCCGCATCTCATCGGTCAGTTCCTTGACAACAATGCTCGCTTCAGCTCTCTTTTCGAAGCTCTATTTAATCAGTGTGCTACTTTGGGTGCACCCACAGAATTAAAACGATAAGTGCTATCTTCACAAAATTTTACTCGTGAACTCCTCTAGGCCTAATTAGACTGACTACTTTTTTTTTTTTTTTTTTAGTCCAAAGGGATTTGAATCCGGAATGACTATTAGTTTCGTTTTGTCATTTTGCGTCGGACTCATAAATGTCGGTTCACTTTTCAAACTGTTGCCACAAAATGTTAGAGTCCTGCATTATATTTGAAGAAATTAAATAATGAAAAATCTGCATAAATGTATGTATATTTCTCGTATTGTGATAAAACAACGGTACATAGAGTCATCGAATTTTGAATAACGTAATCCTCCAACGAATATGAGCATGTGGAAGACCCAATTTGAAATTTGAAATTTGTTTTATTATGATCGATTTCCTATTTTTTAAAACTTTGACGAATTTTTGATTAACAAACTCAAGGATTTCAAAGCGAGCAATGGCAACGTTGTGCAGAAAAAACATTTTTATCTCTCCAGCGCGTGAGTCTCTGTATCGGAAATTCTAAAAGATATGCTCGTTTTAAAAACTATTTTGCGATATTGCTGTTGCACTGGATCTTATGGTTTAAGTGCGAGGAACATGATATTTAATAAAGAAAGGTAACACACAAAATGTTAAAAAACGCCCCTTTGGACGTAATTTAAAATCTGAAACATTTCAGATTTTGTTTTTTTATGATTTTTTTTTTTTTTTTATCAAGACTCTGACTTTAAAAACTAGCGCGCTGGAAAGGGTTAAACTGACGTTAGCATTTTTCTAGCCAATTTGCTGCAGCAAATTAGCAGACTTTGCATTTGTGAGTCGCTTTTGTCAAATTCAAAGTTTTAACTAAGGGGGTTAGTTTAAACCTTTTTTTGAATTTGTAGTTGTTTACATAGACGATGCGATCAGTCACCTAACAGTTTTAATAGTTAACTAAGTTAGTTAAATTAATAAGTGGGACTCTGCAATCTTTAGTATAAAAACTGTAAACTTATAATAAGTAATTGACTAAGATATTTCGTATCACCTATCTAGAATGCGCTGGATGTAATCCTGGATTAGGCCAAAATAAAGGTACTACGACCTGTACTGCAGGATGTGGAATCATTGCTTCAGAAGAGTAAGTAAAATTTTAGTTAAAAGTCTGTAAAACTTAAATTTACCACCTTTCATGTTATTATTGTTAGTTATAAGAAAAAATATAATATTTAAACCTGTTCACTTTTAAACACCTAAATTTTCTTAGTATGCACTGCTCCATTATATGTAATACTTTTAAATAAATAATAACTGCTATGTTAAGAAATAATAGACTGATCAATTAGAAAAGAAGATGAGACCAAGGCCAATTCTGAAGGCTTGTAGAAAGAACAATAAATTTCTATATTCCATGAAAAACCTTCATTATTCAGAGGTGATTTATAAAATTCAATATTAATCACTTTAAATTCAATTTTAGAAAATTTCGATGATTTTTGGGGAGTTTGAAACATCTATAGATTAGTTTTCTCATTTTTTTTATTAACTTTATGTTACGTCATTCTTCCAGTTTATTTATCATCTAGATAGGTGGCTTTATGATCAGTCTCAAGAGATCTTGCCATTCAACTTAATGTAAGATCTTAATTTATCTTTTGAATTAAAATAGTGTGTTGCCGAAATAATTGAACAAATTAAAGGAAATAAACGTACATATTAATAGTTTAATGTGTTATTTTATTTTTAACAATACGCTTATTGGATGCAATTTGTAATATCTAATCATTAATTTGATAAACATTTTCTCCACAGATGTAATTAATAAAAAGTGATTTTTATATCACCATATTATAGCAAATATAGCCTAGGTCTAAACAATGATTAAAATTCTTCTTAGCAATGAGTTCCCCCCGCTTTCATATTAATTGACAGCTCGGAAACTCTTACCTATCTAATGATTTAAATTTTAGACAGCTGTTTAGTTATAATATGAAACTCATGTATCATAAAAAATTTTAATTTATGTTTTCTTCATTTGAAAAAGAATGTAACAAGTTTTATTAGCGCAATAATATAAAGTTTTCATGACTTATATACAAGTACGTGAAGGATCAAATTAATTTTGCTCTGCTTGTTTCCATTAAAATTAGGTTCACTTCCAGTCAGTGAATATTGTTTATGCGTCATGATTCAGAATTTTTCAGCACGAATTCAATTTACCCCCCCCAAAGGAAAAAATATTTTTTCGGGATTTTCTTTCCTTATTTAAAATTGCCTATAATTTTTATTTCTTGTATTGTCGTTAAAAATGTGCTAATGCGACTAACTCTCATTTCTCGTAAAAAAACATATTTTGACATTTTATATATTATTTTATATTATGATATTATACATATTTTTAAAAAGTGTCTAATGTACGTTTAAAAACTATGTTTTAATAATTCACCACTTTTACATGGTGATATTAATTATAAAAAATCTGATGTGTACACCACATGACTTCCTTGTACGGAATATTAAAGTATACGCATTTTTTCTTGCATTTCATTTAAACTTATTAGATTGAATTAAACCTACTTCGCCGAAACCGCATAAACCACAATAGAATAAATGCATTCTTTCAAATTCACTTTGTTTACCATAGCGACACTCTGGCGCTAGGTTCACTTAACAGTATTATATTTCGTTCATATTATAACTCAGAATGCACAAAATGTATATCATTTAAAGAATTATCTAATCGTTGCCACATGTTCTATTCAAATACTATAATAAAGCTAGAACGATGTATAAAAGAAATTAAGCAAACAAAACAGAATAGAAACAGTTTTTCACTGACGATTGAGTATTTCTCATTCAATTAATTCAATTTTCACTTCTCGACAAGGCAAAAATACATAAAAACTCAAAATAACTGTATTAAAAATTACGAAGTAAATCTTAAACGCTTATTTCCTCGAAAAAATTCTAGAAAGGATTAAGCATGATTTAAATAATAAATGAAGGCGTTATCTTTGTTGTTGCGAAGCTAAGATTCTCTAAATTGGCAACAAATCCGCTATCTTGCTGTTTCAAATGTAAACAAGAGCAATGGCCGCCATCAAAAACATTATTAGGCTTAGCGGCACTTAAACAATTTTAAAATTGTTGATAATTCTAAAAATATTGCATATTTACATTTACTAAAGGCATAAAAACCTTAACCGGAAGATAAGAAAAACATAATTCAATCATTTTTAAAGCAAAAAGTGTACGATTTACAAACATAAGAGTAAAGAAACTGAGATCACTGAGCCGGGTAACAGAGTGGATATATATATAAATATATTTATATACGTTTGGTGCGGCCGATTGCAACCAAAATACGAGGTGCACATCTACATTCGTACAGACGCCACGAAAAATTCTCTTCAGAATTCATTTTAAAGTAGTTTTATAATTTTTTTGGAGGAAAAGAGAGTTTTATTCTGTCCTTACGTACATATATCACGGAAATACATCGTTAAATTGCATTTGAAAGAGGTCAAAATGGGATATTTTCGTTGAAATATGCTGCATGAAACTTTTCGCGATTACAATACTTCCTTTTTACTTCGTACAAGGAAGTAAAAAGACAGTAAATGTATCGCGGGAAAATAATAAAATCTCCACGGACCAATCGCATGAAATTTTCATGGTTTGGAATTTATGCTAATAACATTTGCTGTTCTGAAGATTCGCGCTAGCATTTCACTGGAAGAACACTAGTTTATTTCACTCTTTAATAGTAAAAATAAATAAATAAATAAATAAACAAGGGGGAAAACTTTAGAATTTCCAATAGGTAGTCTCGCGCTCTGGAAATAGAATTTTTTTTTTTTTTTTCGTACAGTTGCTCACTTTGAAATCATTGAGTTTGTTAATTAAAAATTCGTTAAATTTTACAAAATATGAAATCGATAATAAAACAAACTCCAAATTTCAAATTTGGGATTTCAGTTGCGCATATTCACAGGAGGATTACGTTATTCAAAATTTGATGGCTCTATGTACATCTGTACGTTTTTTCACAATGTGAGAAAAATGTATAATGCAGATTTCTTTATAATTTAATGTCCTTAAATATAATACAGAGCGATAATATTTGGTTGCAACAATTTAAAAAGTGATTCGCCGTGAAACGGCACAAAATGTCGTTGAGATTAATAGTCCTTCTCGGCTAACGCCTATTTGGGCTAATATATATATAAATCTGAAACCTTTTTCAGATTTTACGTTACGCCCAAAGGGGTGTTTTTTAAACGTTTCGTGTGTTACCTTTATTTATTAAAAATCATGTGCTTCACACTCAAACCATAAAATTCAGTTCAACAGCAATATCGCAAAATGATTTTAAAATGAGCATACCTTTAGAATTTCCGATACACAGTCTCGCGCGCTGGAGGTAAAAATGTTTTCTTTTCCGTAAAGTTTTGCCATTGCTCTCTTTTAAATAGTTGAGTTTGTTAATCAAAAATTCGTTAAAAGTTTACAAAATATGAAATAAGTAATGAAACAAACTCCAAATTCCAAATCTGGGCTTCCAGATGCCCATATTTGATGGAAACGTACGTTATTCAAAATTTGACAGCTCTAGGTACCGTTGTTTTATCACAGTGCGAGAAACATACATATATTTATGCAGCAGATTCCTCCTTATTTAATTTGTTTACATATAATAGGGAGCTCTAATATTTGGTGGCAACAATTTGAAAGGGAACCGACATTTATAGTGAACCAACGCAAAATGCCAAAACGAAATTAATAGTCCTTCTGGGCAAACTGCCCCTTTAGACTAAAAATACTAGTACATAACCAAAAACGCATTACATTATGTACTTTATTATCAATCAAATGCTGTTAATATAAACAGTGTCTTTGTTTGAGAACAAAATTCCCATTTTAGTGGAGGGTAACTATTTGCATACATATTGAAGTGTTTTAAATTTAGGTCAGTAATTATTTTACATAGAAGCCGTTTCTCGTAGTGAAAGGCACGGTAAGGTACTTAATGTAACTTTGAAAAAGAACCTTTTAAACATATGAAATAATATGTAACAAAATTGATGATGTCAAGAATCCATTTTCCTATTTGGATTGTGAAACACGATTATTTTGGCGAGCATTTTTCGCATAAATTCTAGGAAAAGGTAGTTTTAAGATTATTTAAATGCAAAAAATTAATCTATAAATTAAAATGGAACAGCAAACATAGCAGGAAAATTTGAAATTTTAAGATATCCTTGACATTCACAAAAAAAATGGTGTTATTTGGAAACAAAATTCCCCCTGAAGATGTAAAAATATTACATGAAATTCATGTCGCAATAAAGTAACTATCCAAATTTATAAATATCTAATTCTTCATTCCTTGGGAATTACTTCATATTGCAATATTTATTCATCAGGTATCCTTTTCCGCCTCATTACTACTTTTCTTCAGAGGCTTACAGCGACTACAACCACACTTGGGTTTTGAGGGCTCTGCACACCACGAATGTGGTGGAATTGGAGTTCAGCGATTTCGACATACCAGCTGCACCAGGAACGAGGAACTGCACCCCCGACAGGGGAGTACTTTGGGTTTACAACGGAGAAGGTACATCAAGGGAGAATCTTATTGGAGGATACTGTAACTTAAATCGAGAAGGGATACTATACTCAACTACCAACATCATGACTCTAGTATTTTCTACGAAGTGGCGAAAAGTGGGCAATGGAAGAGGTTTCTATGCAGTATACAGAAGTGTGTTTTCACCAACGTCGAAGAAAAATAGTATGATTTTAGTTATATTCCTTCTTCATACATAGGATAATAAAATTTGCACTTTTACTGTAAAAAATTTCAAAATCTAAACTTATCTCATTTTGTATCTAGTTGTCTACTTGAAAACATGCTTATCCAACTAAAATGAAAAATTAAACTTGAAAAATTGGAATTGTTAATCATCGTTGTCATAAGAGATGATTCAGAAATCCTTGTACGAATTTCTAAGATTGAATGGATGGCGCATGTATTACCTTCTGCTGAAGACCGCTGTTAGAGAGCGTGGTAACTGGCTATATACTATTCCAAGTTTTATAAAATAAAATTTCGTTTAAAAAATTAATTTTGTTCTCATGAAAGATCTAAATTACAATATTGCAAATGTTATCAATTAAAAAAGAAGCTAAGAGTGCTTTCGATTTTACGCATACAACAAAGACCAGAAGTGAACCTCAGAGTTGAACTAAAGTTTTTTTGCAATATTTGTAAATATGTGACTTAAATTTGCAAGATTCTAGCTAAATTAAAGTTTTTTTTTTGGGGGGGGGAAGGCTAGTTCTTGATTTAAGCTGCTTGATTTGGCGACTATTCGCTAAGTTTGCATCAGTAAATACGTAGGCAAAGGATAAAAGACCCTTGGGATCTTAAAATTTCAATTTAAGAACAGTATATACAGATGGCACTGCTAGTGCTTACGGGGCCTTGCCAATAATTTTGGCGGCAACTCAAAATAGGAAACGTAAAATCAAAACTAATCCAAGTTTGAATAAATCAGCGGAAGCTGCACAGAGATATTTAAACGCATAGTTGGCTCTGGCCTACCACCGACCTCGACTAACCGGCAATTAGTACTATTAACGGCCGTAAAATAGGAAGTGGCATAGAAACAGGGTGGTCGAAAGGCAGAACACGTTCTGTCTGAAGTAACTCAGACACTGGCTTAAAGAGTAGCTCTCTACCTTACTTTTGCATAATGCGTGAAACTGAAATCTTATTCTAGCAAGAAAGCGTGGGTTGAAAAAAGGAGTTATAGTTATTCTGTTCGATGAAAAAAACACAGTAAAAAATTGCAGCTCAATCGCTTGTCATCTTCAGGTTCCACATGAGGTAAATAAAAAAATCGATGTTAATGAAAGCATTGAACTATTTTTAATAATATTTTTTAATTATTTTTTACAGCATTTTTATTTCCTAACCCAACATATGCATTTAATTGTAAAAATATTCTAGTAAACAGGCTTCAGCTGAATCACTCGTCATCTTCAGATTCCACAAGAAAACCGAAGAAATTCATCTTGGTATCGAACTTCCTGGGACTTGATTCGAGTACATATGAATCCATCCGTGGCTTCTGCACCACGTGTAGCCAATGACGCTTCTGTCACCAGTCTCAAATGCCTCTCAACTACTTGATAATGGCAAGGAAGCTTTTCTTTTTCAAATTGAGAACCGCTTCTAATCAGTCTTGCTTTCCTCTCTGGGGTTCAAGGTAGCCGGTGGTTCCAAGGGATTGTCCCAGTGAATCATCTCAAAATAATGATTTGCTTTGAAATTCAATTTGGGAAGTTCAAACTGTCGTATTTTCCCTTTCCAGGCAGTTTTTCTTGCTTTCAGTATTCTTCTCAAGCCAAGTTCACGAATATGTGCTCATTGATCTTCCAGCATCGCCAACAAGATGTTTTCAGAGTAAGCAAAATAACAGATTCTCTGAATAATTTCGTGAACAATTTACCTTAAAATTTTCTGGCAAGAATGAATGTTCATTCTGTGAACATGACGGGCTCCATCTCCTGATATCTTGATTTTATTTATTTCAAGCCAGGATGGCACACAAACTTTTATAACATATTCGGCTAGTAGCTTCAAGTCGTCTGTTGGTTCAACGGTAGATACATAAAGGCGGAGAATTCTGTTGGCTGCAGTGAGCCATCTTGAGTGGGTTTGTTGGCTGTAGTGAGCCATTCCAGATTCTAAAAAGCAGAGGATGCAATGACAGCAGCTGACCAATCCAATATTTCCTCTCTATCACAAGCAGCAGCTAAATTTGGCATAGGTATACGCATTTAGCCTGTCTTAGAGGTTGAAGGAATTTGAGAATATGTTCCTTTCAGACGTTTGGCTTCTTTAGTAGCGAAATTGAATAAGGTTCTTGACCAACATCCTCAGAGATGTCATCTGAATGAGACAGTAAGACGGCATTCACTTCCCAGTTTGTAATCGTCATAGACAAACACGAATTGCCTTTATATGCTCTTACTTTAGAAAACTGAGTTTCCCTTCTTTGTTGTTTTTCGGCTTTTAGAAACCCAATGGCCATTTTTAGTGTATCGTGAACAGATTGCGAAAAGTTTGAGAATGTTTTTATAAATTTACAAATTATAAATTTATAAATTCTGGTATAACTCTTGATCTAGCGCTATGGTTATTTTCTATGAAGTATTGGTAATTATTGATTTTATTAATTTTTCAGTAATTAATACCGCATTCCCAAATGTCTCTGAAGGAAAACCGGCTAAACAATCTAGTACACTCAATGGTCGAAAAGCTAACTTGGGAGTTGATGGCTTAATTGACACAGCAAAGAAATCTGTTCATTGCACTGCCACTGAATTCGAAAGAGATCCTTGGTGGCAAGTGAATCTGCAGAAACGTTACCTTGTGTATGGATTTGAACTGTACAGCACCAAGAGTGAATCACAGGTATGTAGTTTATCTTTAAATATTCACAGGTTTCGTATACTTACGAGTAGTTTTATTACTAATATTATTATTTTTACTCCCCAATTATGGCTTCTACGCATAAACATAGAACTGCATTCAAAGGTGAGAATAAGACATAGATATTTTTACGTCAGTAATTTAAGCTTCAAATATTTAATTTCCTAGGGTCTGGAACAGACTTGAATTATAGCTCTTTGAATTATGGGTATATTATTTAAAGGAAATTTTCAAACGTAAAAATGTACTAAAATTGCGATGTTCACGTCATGTAGTTGAATTAAACAATATCAGAGTTATATACTAATATTGTATATCCAAGAAAATGGGTAAAAATAATTTTAAAAATATTGATAATGCAAGTTAATTTATTTCAATAAATAAGTTATATAATTAACAGTTTGATATAAATTGTAATATAACGTTGGTTGACAGCTTATTAAGCTGTAAGTTCCCTTTCACAACTGCCTTATCCTTCATACAACACTGCACAAAAATATCATGTTTTTACAGGTTTTGAGAGAAGAGCATTACTTTAAAAGTTTCAATTATGTAGCTGATATTCGAATAAGACTTTGAAGTCATTGAAGTGAGTTCAGCCGAAGAAAATTATTTTAACAAATTTAAAAAGAAATACGAAGCAATTTTGCTTACAGTACCCTCCACAGCGGCATCCCTCTCTAAGCGGATAGTTTTATTTTTTTTTATTTTTTTTTTTTTTTTTTTTTGTGTGTGTGTGTGTGTGATTATGAGAAAGCCTCGAGGGCTATCTGCCTAAGAGGAGGAATGCCTTCGTGGAGGACTTTCTAAGGGAAACTGGCTCGTATACACGTTACACATGGAGAAAACCACGAAAACTCTAACCGGATAGACCTTCAATGATTTGTTCTGCTCAGTTTTTAAGGTATTTTCTCCCTCCTTCCAGCGTGTCTCGTGGTGTAACTAACGGTAGCACATTTGGCGCGTATTCGAGAGGTGCTCGTTCGAGTCCCGGCCAGGGCATTGCATATCTTTAACATCTCCTGCTTCAAAATAACCCAATGACTCTCTAAGTTAAATAAAGGTACAACTCTATAAAGATGGTGTAAAGATGAATGAATTCTAATTATCGTAATTTAGATATATCCGAGTATTCTAGGACTAAATAACGTGTCCACACAAAATAATAATTATTGTTGTTAAAAAACATTGAAACGAATGTAAATGAATCAAAGTATATATCTATGTTTTCTTTTCTACAGAATAAAAACACCATAGCCAAAATGTGGCCCGATGGGCAGTATGGCTTACCCATGTCTCAGTCTGGCTGTCCTCTTGGAACAGGTTTTCACTGGAGGACAGGTTATCGCTACCATGATACGCACTATGAAACTGTTCAAGATGCCAAAGTCAATCACTGGACACCTGGAATGCTTTTGGAAGGTAAGATAATTATAATTAAATATATCCGCTTGACTCTGTTTGGAAGTAAAGCAAATGCCTGACCTCTTCGATGTACGGAAATATAAAAAGCGTTTCTTTTCAATATGTCTCTTTATAAATAATATGGAAGTAAAATTTGAAGAATATCAAAGAGTTGTATTAAAATATTTAATACGGCACAAAAATATTAAATTCAGAGAATGAAAACTTAGTACGTAAAGTTTTATTATTATTATTATTATTTTATAATTTTTGACGGTTACATAGAAAATAGGATTTGTGTAGTTCTTTCTCGTGAGTAATGAGACACCTGCTACTTTTTTATTCGAAGATATGGTTTGGTTTATTTGATTACGGAAAAACACTCGAGGGCTATCTGCCTAAGGGAAAGATGTGTGACGATCAGACATATGCACCCTCGGACTTCCAGGTACTTAATGAGAACTTCCTGTTTGTTCAGAGACAAAATGGACAGCAGAACTTTGAAGAAAGGTACAGCGGAAACCCCCTATCGTGGTTTCCGGCCATAAGGGACTAATTACTCTCTTTCCAAGTTTTTAACAAAACGAGGAGAAAGCTTTGTGTAAAAAGCTTTTGATGCTGTAAAGAGTAAAAGCAGACGCATTTTAGCGTCAAAAGACGCTGCATCAGCGGCTTTTGTTTAATTTATGGCTGTAATGATTCAATTATTTTAATATTTAATCAAGAATTTCTAATTAATTTTTTAATAAATATTTTAAAAGACAACCTGTCTTTCTTGCACCCAACACGGGTGTTCTGACGTTACAGCTTTATTATAATGGTGGCAGCGGTTCAGATGAGAAAATCCATGCGGGGATTACAGCCCATCAGGTTCTGAATTTCCATGAAGTTACGAACACCAGTTCGAAAAAGAGAATACAGTTCATCGTTAAGTTGTGTGGATTGGAAATCCATGGAAAAGTTACGGACGCCAGTCCAGACAAAGAGGAACGACAGTCTCCTGAATATAGTTCATCTTCAACAACATAAATTACGCGATCATCTTGTGTTCGAGAAAACTTAGTGCAGAAGTGTGTGGACAAGCCTTATCCGAAGAGCATCAGATCATTGTGAATGTGTAGTGTAGTGAAAAAGTAATACGTGTATGATCATCGTTGTTACCTGAGAGATTAGTTCAGTGCAGTGTGTTCTTTGCCCGAAGATCATCAGATTATTGTGAAGATGTGAAATAGTAAAAAATGTGTGATTCATCAGCATCTATGTACTGGTGAGGCGGGTAAGTACCTTGTATTTTTATATTGAAGCAGTAAAGTAATTTAATTTATTTCTGTAATTTAGTATATAAGTTCAAATAACTGTTTTAAGCCAACTTTGTTTTCTGTAAAGCTTAAAGAAATGTGCTGTTTGGGTTGTATGTTACAATAAGGAGTATAAATTTTAGAATTTAAATCTGTGTTAATAGATTTTTTGATAGCTGAAAAGTTAATGTGTTGTGCTCAAATTAAGCTTATATAATTGAATGTGTAAGGGAGAAAAATTACTGTAACTTTGAAGGTTCTAAGGATGGGTGGAATTCTGACATTCATTTCTAAGACGTCTTGAATATTATAAATATTAGAATTTTCAGTTAAGGTGTGTCAACATTATTTGTATAAGAACTGAGAAAAATATTTTTTTTTCCTATTGAATGAGTAAAAGAGGAATGCTAGAAATTCCAGTATTTTTCATTTTAACGGTTGTCATATTAATGTTTAGTTATGAGCATGTAGACATATGATTTTTATAACTAACCTTTGAATGCATATTTTAAAATACCTCAAATTTTGATGAAAGTATATTGCATTATCATAAGCAATTGAGTTTAACGCAACTGATTTTAAAACTTTTAAGAGGGTAATATTATCTATAGTATCATAAGTCCTCAAGTAGACAAAATTTTATTTGAACGCATAATGTGCATATTATGGTGTAAAATGTTTTGCATTTTTTGTTTAAGATCTGTAAAATATGTTGTGAAAAAATTAAGGGTTCAAGTTTACTCTCTCTTTGTGAAAATGATAATTGTTTAAATCAATTTTATACATATGTAGAGTGAGGGAGCTAAAATTGTCAGGTTATTAGCATATTGTTTTATATCATGGCATTCTTAGCAAAAGTTAGGAAAAAGGATCTTAAATCCTTGGCTGAAGTGTTAGGTGGAAAAGTTAGCCCTAAACTTAGGATATTGAATTTAAGGCAGCTGATTATGGGAAATGAATCCTAAGAGGAGGAACTAGTGAAAGGCCTGTTAGAAAATATCACTTCAGAGAGGCAGAATAGAATTAGGAGGGAAGAGGAAGAAAGGCAGGAAAGAATTGGGACAGAAGAAGAAGAGAGGTAAGATAGAATTAGGAGAGAAGAAGAGAGGTAAGATAGAATTAGGAGAGAAGAAGAGAGGTAAGATAGAATTAGGAGAGAAGAAATGGTGTTTGAGTTATCGAAGTTAAGATTATTAGCCGCTAACGGAAATGACTCTGTAAATGGCGGGAATGAAGAAAACTTAAGTGGTCTTCTCATATCAAATTGACGCTCATTCTGATTCCGGAGATGTTCCTTTCTGTCAGCGGCATATCTATCTTCTCCTCCAGACTGGTGATACTTTTGCGGATCTCTTGAATTTAAATGATTTTTATTTCCCCGTTGTGACTCAGAACTATGGACAGGAGATATCTTCTTCTGGGTTTCACGTACGTTTTCATACTTTTCTAGCATTTCTGCTAATTTACCTGGAGTCGTTATCTTCGACAATAAAGTGCTGCCGCACTTCGACATTTACACGGCGCTTCATGAGATCCTTTAAAAGTTCAAAATAGGTAACTTCCAAACCTGCAATCCATTCTTCAAAATAATTCCTTAATTCAAAGGAAAAATCTCTCCAAGTGGTTCGAGTGTTTTTCGGGGATTTCGTTAAGAAAAGCGGTTACGATCTAAAAAAAATGATTCCAAAATTTGATCCTGAAGAAAACGACATTAGTTTGTATCTAGTCATGTTTGAGCGCCAAGCAAAGCGTGGGAATCTTCACCAATCAGAATGGGTTTCGGTTTTATTGACAATTTTGCCAACTGACATAATTCAGCTGATTATGAGAGAACCAGAGCAGCAGGCTTATGACTACGATTACGTAAAGAGGATATTGCTTAAAAGGTTTAAGCTTAGTCCAGAAAAATTTCGTATCAAATTTACGAAATCCCAGAAAAACACTCGAACCACTTGGAGAGATTTTTGCCTTTGAATTAAGGAATTATTTTGAAGAATGGATTGCAGGTTTGGAAGTTACCTATTTTGAACTTTTAAAGGATCTCATTAAGCGGCGTGTAAATGTCGAAGTGCGGCAGCACTTTATTGTCGAAGATAACGACTCCAGATAAATTAGCAGAAATGCTAGAAAAGTTTGCATAAAACACCCGTTTGAAAAAGACCCAATTTGTTTACCCTTTGCAAACGTTGCAATAGAAGGAACTTTTGGCCAAGTAACAACAAAAGCAGAGATCATTCAAAATGAATTGGACCCCGGTCATTCTTTTTTAGGAAACAGAACCACCGAAAAATTAGCAGTAGATCAGCGAGAATTCTCTCCTCATTATTGAAAAAGGTGAAGTTTCGTCCGCAACAAAAGGGATGAAGGAGGCCAATTTCGCCCTGCCTGAAACCGAGGTGAATGACCTGACACTACTACTATAGACAAGACGTGGTTGTCTGATCTACAAAAGAAAAGTGACGTTGTAAAACCATCTTTTGACTTAGTCGCGTTAGACGATCACAGTAACTCTTTGGGAAATGTGTACAAGTTAAGAATTTCCCTTTCGGTTCGGCACAAACAAGAAATTGTAGATATGCCAAATGATGTTTCGTACCAACCAGACTCAGAAGGTTTGCAAATGCCTAAAAATTCCGTAGGAGAATTTCCCAAGACATCGAGTAGTGTAAATTTACCAAGGAAAGTAGAAGAATCCCCACTTCATCATTTATCCATACTAGAACCTGATACTGAAGGGTCAAAGGGGATTAAATATAGCTACTTCATGAATGATGTAAATTCAACTTGTAATGGTGTAGTTTTTTCTGATCTTAAGCCAAATTAAATGTACATGTTTATTTTGAGGTTAAATGTAGCAGTTCTCATCCAGCTGTTGGGTTACCATTGAGAGATCAGATGTAGCGGATAACTTTGTAAAGGGAAACTGGTTCGTATACAAGCTACAAATGCAAAAAGCCATGAAAACGCCTATGCAGCTGGCCAGTTCGCCGGAAGTCGAACCCCGAAGCCAGTATTCAGCGACTTTACCTCTCGATTGCTAGTGTGCTGGTTCCTTCTTCCCTCGATGATACTCATCCTACTCATAAGAAAAATATATGTCGCAAATTTTTTACAATTCAATAACTCATTTGCATGTAGTGTTATAATTAGTGAATTCTCATATCAGTATGCCCTCATTTATGCAACTTAATTGTACTATTTATGTTGTAGAGACATTAGGTATTTTTTTCTGGAAGCAGGAGACTTAGAAAATGAGCAACGCCTTCGCCGGGAATCGAGCCACGGACCTCTGGAATACGTGACCAGCGTGCAGACCACTACACCACGAAGGCGCGTTAAGAAGGCGGGAGAAATATCTTATAATATAACCAACAAGAACAATAACTGGAGCAAAAGCCTGTGTAATCTTATCAGTTTGCTATTTATCAGTACACCCGTACTCGTGCTTTTTAAATAATGCTTATATATGTGCACCTTGTCTTTATATATTAGTATACTGTGTATTATGTATACGAATACGAACTAGAGGGGACCTGGAATTGTAGGCAATAGCGCCCCAAACCATTATTCCACGTTGTCGCGCGGTGAGGCGTTCCACAGTTACTGCTGGATGAGATCTGTCTCCACGTAAACGCCACACACGTATGCGGCGACTCTCATTGGATAAACAGAAGCGTGACTCATCTGAGAACACGACGTTTCGCCATTCTGTCATCCACA